CTTAGTCATAACAACTATTTTTTGTTAGATTATATCAACCTTAAACGGGAAGGTTGGTTTAGACTGTTAAACTGACAAGTAAATTCTACACAGAGAGTATTAACTGAATTTTCAACTGGAACTTCCCTTTCGACATCACCTATCACTTGAAATAGCAACTGCAGAATCCCAGAAAATGAATTTACCAAACATTGTTTAGCAACATTGTTTTCATTTGTGAAATGTTAAATATAGCTAACCTATCACCAGGTGCCACTCTTTCTTCTCTATAGGTTTCTTGGCAGTAATAAACACACAGCTGCAACTAAAATTTAATCTAAATGATACTGTTAACTCCATGAGAAAGTACTGTGTGACAAATCTTATAGATGGAATGTATCAGAAGTTGAGAAGCAAATTAGGCTATGATACATATATTAGGATCAGTTTTTGCAAACTTTAAACACTGACTACAGACCAAAAAAAAAAAAAAATCACTGTATAAATTAAGTCAGTACTGACACAATTCACTGAAAGAAAATAAGAAGTAAAACTAAGAAATGCCAAGTGTTTATTATGCCTACAAAAAAACAGAGAGAACACATTTTTTGTTTGTTTCAAAATATTATTTTTGCAAGGCAGCTTGCCTTAAAGCTCTGAAAGAATAAGACTTTCACCTGCACCTTGTTTAGGATTTCTAAGTCCTAGCAGTTATAGGAAAGACATCTTATTATCAAAAAAATTTTAAACACAACAAATGAAAAGGCAAAATTGTCCCACAACTTGATGAAGAACATTTTTAGTTTAATTTACATCCTAGAGTACCATTTGATATTTGATCCCGAATTTGGTAATGGTGAATAAAGAATATCTTTTGTTATTTTAGAGGAAAGAGAATCATTTATTCCATAATGATAATTTTTAATAATATACATTTGGCTACTAAAATATATTCTTAAAAAAATTTATTGTATAAGGCTTTGGTTCCTCAGTCAGGTGGTTTGGGTTTGAATCTTGACACACCTCTAATAAGCTTTATGACACAAGATTAGCTCTATTGCTAACTTACTAATCAAAGCAAGTGGAAAATGGTATAAAAACTGTATGTAGACCTTTTCATAAAGTAAATCCATGTATGCAATAGGAAATTCTTCTTCTCAGTTAAGCATATATAAATTTGCAATTATGTTTAGTTAGCCTTCAAGTTTTATATATTTCAGAACTCTGATGTATCATGATACTGAGAGCTGAAATATTTTTTCTAATTATGATGTAATAAAGCTATCCTGATAGTAGCTGAGCTTGTACATTTCTATACATCTATACTTGATGTTTGCACTCTTGGGGTTTCTAGTCAACGTATAAAAATAAGAAAAAAAAAACAAATAATCTAAATATGGAAAGAAGTCAAGTTGCAAATATTGAACGTGACTACGCAATCTCTCAGTACAGTGTTAACTGATTTATTCACAACATCGAATGCATCTTAAATCTGTCATTACTTAACTTATAATAGGAAAGAACAAACTTTTGCCAAAAATATCAAGCCTTAAAACTAAGATAATTATTTTGAGTGCAAAGTTAGCTGTAGAATGCATGAACTCCATATATCTTGAATCCTCAAAGTACATTGAAGTAACGCATGGAACCATCTCTTGTAGACAGCTCCCCAGAAGTACAGTTGTTTGATGAATATATATGAACTGATTCTTGGTGTGCTTATGAAAATAACATAACACATACAAGAATAAAGGAATTAGTAATAGGAAAGAAAATTATGTCTACAAATGTAAAAAAAAATGATCTCAGGAACTGTTTTCACATTTTAATACATGGACAATTATTAGGAATGTAATAAGAACATTATAAGTTTAATAAGATTTTTAAATGTAAAAGATTTATATTCATAATTAAATCATGTAAGATAAAAAATGTTTGCCTGTAATGTCTTAATGTTTTCACTCATAAGTGGGAGTTGAACAATGACAACACATGGACACAGTGAGGGGAACATCACACACCTGGGCCTGACAGGGGTGGTGAACAAGTGAAGGGAGAGCATTAGGACAAATACCTTATGCATGCAGGGCTTAAAAACCAGATGATGGGTTGAATAGGTGCAGCAAACCACCATGACACGTGTATACCTATGCAACAAACCTGCAGGTTCTACACATGTATCCTGGAACTTAAAGTAAAATAAAAAAATAAATAAAAATAAAAGCAAGAGAATTGCTTGAACTGGAATCCAGGAAGCAGAGATTGCAGAGAGCCGAGATCATGCCACTGCATTCCAACCTGGGCTACAAAGCGAGACTCTGTCTCAAAAAATAAAAATAAAAATAAAAATAAAAATAAAAATAAAAATAAATAAAAACTTAAAAGTAGAAATTTGGAAACACTTTTAAAATTTACCGACACCCAGTCACTGATTCAATGTGATATGTAACTTCTTAAATTCCAGAAAAGTGAGGAAGAAAGAAAATAATAATAATAAATAATAATCCATATTTAGTTTCCAATGTCTTCCAAAAAAATTTGCAAAATCTAAGCCAACAATCAGATATTTTCATATTCTTAAGTTTTATTACAGGTATAAAACTGATTAATACTCACTAGTCATTTCTGCCATAGCCAATTCTATTTTTTATGAACTCTTTACACATTGTACAATAATGGTTTTACAAATTATTCTTTTCTTTCAAGGAAGTGACAAATTTGTATGTACTATTCAACATTTGTTTATTTGTTTTATTGTTATTTCTTTAATCTGTTAAGGGAAACCATAAAAAATAGTACTAACATTTCATTTATATTATCAGTTATTATAATCAAAAACAGATCACCCTCAAATATATGAATGCAATTCTCATTGATTTGTAAAGTTGTAATATGAATCTTTTGGGTCAACTTAGGTTCATTATGCTTTTTTGAATATGTTATTAATAGCAAAATGTATATAGCCTCATGCATATTTATGGTATTTGATTTTTATAAAGATATGAGGAAAGGCATGACCAGATATAATAATCGAACAAGTGGCAATTACTTATTTAATTTACTTATTAGATTTTTTGTTATTAGACATATTATTTAGCATGGCTAGATATATTAATTAAACTACTACAATATCTAATTTTACTTTCTTCTCTCAGGTTTCTTTACCAGATCTCTATAGTTTTAATTGGCTCCTTTCTCACTAAACCATGCTATTTGAAAGCTCTCTTTCTGCTTACAGATCAAACTGTTGCTATTTAATCACCTGTATATCTCTCTCTCCAATATACCTTCAAGAAATATGAATCATTACTCCATTCTAAACCATAGTATATCTATATTTATGACCCCATATCATCTCACATCTTGTGCCTTTTTCCTCATAATTACCTCACCTCTCACAGGGCTTCTAAATTCAAATATGAGGATGGGGATATGAGACAAGAAAATGCACTAGATAGGTATCATGAAAGATGTGAGCTCCAGGTTGAAAATGTCAAACTTGAGGAACATGGCTAGGGTTAGCTTTAACCAGCTAAATCTTAGAAAGAGTACAGATCCAAAGCTGTCAAATTTCAATTTCTCAAGAGTTTATGGAAATCCGTACTTTTATTTAAATCCTCCTGATTTTAATACTGGCTTTAAGGATTTTTTTCTTTGTTTCTTTATCCAGTGAAAATAAATTTTACTTGCTGGCCATATTCTACCCAGAAGTCATAGATTTATGAGCTCTGTCATCAGACTCTACTCATTTCCTCATTCTTGTAGGAGGCTGGTGAATATAGAAAGCTCCCACTAAACTAAAAGCAAACAAACATACACCGCTTGACATTGCCATGATTTGATTCCTGTTTTCCTTTCCAGTCAATTTTAAGCCTTTAAACCAAAGTAGTAATACTATTCCTACATCACCCTGATGCCCAATTTTTAAAAATTTCTAGACATTCATTCAAGTAAATTTCAACATGCAGTGATTATCTTTGCTTCAACACATTGTATGAAGTTTCTGTGCATACTCTAAAGATGAATGTAGTTAGACTAATAGACATTTCTTTAAAATTTCTTATAATCCACATTAAAGGTAGGTATATTCCAATAAGTGAATAGATAGAAACCCAGGAAAATTAATCAACCCCTTATCTGTTAGTCACTAAATATTCCTATAAAATCTCTATGTTAATATCTAGTCAATGAATAGTTAGTATTTTGGTCACTATTCATTGACTTTGATATTATTTTATTATATAAAGAATGTGTTCTTTCACACTTTTAGTGAGTTCTCATTTACTGATATGCTCTGATTCAAATGTACCAACCCATATAGTAATGCAATGTAACTATAAAGAAAAAACAGTCTTCCTGTTTCCTCCATAATTAAGAATGTTTGACTTTAACTTTCTTATCAGTAACAGGTTTATTTCAGAAGAAAATTACATACTGGATATATGTAGGTATAGAGTATGATTTAAGAGTGGGTTTCAGCTAAAATGATTAGTCTTACAAAAAAGAAGTCAGTAATCTAGAAAGCTTATTTTCTGATTTGTATCCAATTTTTAAACATGAGCCCACACAGAAATACTCATTAACAGGATAAGGCTAATTTACTTATAATTGTCAGCACAGTAGAATTGTATAGGCTCTATTTTCAGCTAGCTGTGAAAACCCAAAAGCAGAATGAAGACTCAGTAGGGAAGAAGTTAAAGATAATTCTTAAAATATATGTCCATTCTGAGTAATTGAGTGAAGTATGTTAAATGTTAGTACTCTGCTGAATATTTTATTCCATTAGTATAAAGACACTATATTCAAAATTCACATATTCATTCTTAAATCTCTGACTATGTAATGATTTCAGTTTTATGGCTTCATATTCTTCAGTGAGCAACATTAAATAGAGCTGGTTCACTCTTTTATTTAAGTATTCATACTTAAACCATAAATCAGGTGTTTAATATAAGTTTGCCAAGCCCAACATATTTGAGGACAGGATGTGAAATGTATTATTTCTTAGTAGAGAAACTCACCTTATCTCTAGGACCAAAGAGGAATTGATTTTCCAACCTTCTACATTGTGCTGAAAGATTGAAGAGCCAGCCTTTCGAATGATTTTATCAGAGCTATTGACAAGTGACCGACTCAAAGACAATTCACCCTCTCTGAAACAAAACAAAAATTACAGCTTTGTGAAAGTAAGAAACATTTTGTCTAAACAGCACAATACATAATTTGAATTAATTACTAATGAAGAATGTTAGATACATGTTCCCCTACAAGTTAGAAGGAATTATATAAGCATGATGAAAGGTGTTATGAGAATTAAGTGAATATAACTATCAGGACAAGAATCTACATGTGATGTTTTTGAAATAAAACAATTTCTGAATAAAAATATCTCTATAGTACTTAAATTTTAAAAAATCACCCAATATGAAGACAGAATTATGTAACTCAGCAATCTCTCCTCTGGGCATATACCCAAAGGAACTGAAATCAGTATGTCAAAGAGATGCTTACATTCGCATGTCCACTGCAGCATTATTCACAGTAGCCCAGATATAGAAATAATTTATGTGTCCATCCACAGAGAAATAAAGACAATGTTATATATATATACTCAGTGGAGTACTATTCAGCAATTAAGAAAGAACAAAATCCTGCCATTTGTGACAACATGAATGAACCTAGAGGATATTAAGGTAAGTGAATCAGTCTACACAGAGAGACAAATACCTTATAATCTCACTTATATATTGATTCTAAAACAGTGGAAATCATAGAAGTAGAGAACAGAATATTGGGAAGAGGGAGTGAATGGGGAATGGGGAGAAACTGGTCAATAGTACAAAATTTCGCATTTAGATGGGAGGAATAAGTTCTGTTGCACAACGCAGTGACTACCATTAATAATATTGTGTTGTATATTTTTAAGTAGCTGCAAGAGATTTTAAATGTACTCACCACAAAGAAATGACATATATTTGAGGTGATGGATATGCTAATTAGCCTGATCTTATCAATACACAATGTATACTTATACGGAAACCTCACATTGTATCCCATAAATATATACAATTATTATTTGGTAATTAAAATGAGATAAAACAAATAAAAAGCTCTGTTTCCTATTAGCCTCTCACTAACTCTATTCAGACAATAGAGGCAGAATGTTTTTTCAGTGTTCCTCCTTCTGTATAATTGCGACTTCTAAGATTGTAATTTCATTTTTACAGAAGGCATATATGCATAATAGAAGGGGCTCTTGTTTTGAAGCAAGGATAACTTGGAATATCAGGTGATCTGGGCATGTTTGTGATTCTATGACTTGCTTGTATTCCTGGACTGTATTCTCTTTCCAAGCCACAGTGGCCTTACTCTACCTTGAAAATTGCAATAAAATTATCTAATGTGCAATGGCTTTGTGAGGATCAAGTCAGGCTCTACATGTAAAATTAATTTTTCAAAAATTGCATTGATTTCAAAACATTTCAACAATAAGTCACTGCCCTAACAGGTGATGGAGAGACAGAGATTATAGTAAGAAGAAAATTTATTCAGTAGCCATTATTACTGATATTTTATCTTATATTTAAAAAACTACCCTCTGCAACCAATAGTGTCAAGCTAGTATGTCATGCGGCATGGTACTAGCTGGGGTGCTGGAGGAAGTCATGATGCTGGCAGATACCTGTAATAGCATGCATACCATTAGAACATTTATATCTGAATGAATTTATTATTCCATAGACCATCTTCTTGTACTTTATCAATGTAAACCCAGACTCAGAAAATCAAAAAGCCACCTCTTATAGAATACCAACAATAACCACAGCCCTTTGAATATTTGTATTTATTTCTTTACATCACATTTTACTTCTTAGAATGTCAGAAATACAGTTGAAATGTAACATGAATTCACTCCATAACAAACTCTAAATCTGTGTTTTTTTACGCAGGCAATCCTCTCCTAGTATCAATGGGAACATTACCAGTATAACAGTTGTTGGTTGAATTCTGTATTTGAAGCCTTATAGTTTGGTATTTTGGTGTGCATTTTTTTAAACATGTAGTTTAAATTTGAAGCTGCTCAAAGCATCATAAACTGCTATTCCCTGTGAAATTCAGAATTCTTTAAAAAATAACTTAAACTATCCTACTGATGAAAATGATACATTTGCATGCCTATTCATGGCAAATAATGATTGCTTTACAGGGGGGCATTTAGGATGCAAGGAGACACGGGGTGCACTTTACTAACCATTGGACCAGAAGTCAATTTTTATATTATATTTCTAATGATAATAACTAATTATGAATAAAAATGTGGCTATACACAGAAGCTAACCTTCACACTTTGGGAGATATGACTTCATGTGTTCAGGTGCAAATTATCACTATTTCTAGGGGTAAGGGATATTTCTAATCATCACCCTATTAATTGATGTATCAATGTTATCTTTAATCACAGATTGCTATCATTATAATAATTATTTTCACCATCAATAAACTTTCATAGAAGAAGTGAAAATATGCATGGGCTTGCACTTTCTAAAATGTGTGGAAGAGCTGGGCATGGTGGGCAGTGCCTATAGTCCTCACTACTCAGGAGGCTGTGGTGGAAGTATTACTTGAGACTAGGAGTTAGAGACCAGCCTGAGTAATATCACAAGACTCTGTCTCTAAAACCTAATTAATTAAATGAATAATCTATGGATCATTGCTTCATTGACATGTAGATACAAATACATATCACATGACAGAATGTTTGCTGTGATGTTTTTAGATGGCCCAACCCTTTTTAAAATCTCCAAGATTTAAAAAGTTTAAATCAGTGTTCTAAGAATCAAATGTGACCATTTTACTCTGCTGTTTGAATTGCTGTCATTGAGCTGGTGATAAGCCAAATTTCAGACTTTTATCACTGGAAAGAATTTTGAATAAAAATATCTGCAACTAGTCACACTCTTAATAGTCATTGTGGGAGAAGGCCAAACTCAGTACAATCTGAAGCTCTAGAGTAAATTTCTCTGTACAATGTTAAATGGGTCCCATGAGATGTTTCACTCATGACCTTGGTAGCATTCTGTCTTAGAAAAGGCTCTTCCTTCCCATGAATGCAAAGCTCGAAGGATGTTGCCACCCCCCTATTTATTTCTCACTCTAGATCAGACATGACTTTTGAACAGCTGCACTGAAAATATTTATTGCATAGGGTCATCTACAGGAAGATTCACTATGTATTTTTAAAAGGCAAATGGCAAAACACAAGCAAAACACATCTGCAAGAAGATTCAGTATGTACTTTTAAAAGGAAAATAGCAAAACACATCAAAACATATCAAGAAATCACTCTGCATAAATCAACATAGCACAAAGTGTCTTTGCTTAGAAGGAGCAAAAAAAAAAAAAAAAAAAAAAAAAAAAAAAAATCCACTAAGATCATTATCTGTGTGATACCAGTGGCAGGAATTAATCATTTGTTAGGTAACCTAGTGCCTACAAATATTTTTCTCTTTGAAATACAAGTTTCCAGGTTTCATTAGAATTTATTAGTTTTGTAGTGTGTAACTCATATGATTAATATCACTTCACAGCATTAGTTCTCAAAAGCCCCATATTCAACACCACTGAAACTCTTCATGACTTGGCTTTTGAATGAATTTGTTCCCTTTGGACTAGGTTAAACTTACTCTTTATTACACAAATTTTAAGAAAATAACTTGCATTAAACTAAGGCTGAACACACACAGCAGACCATTTTGTATTTTCATCACTTAAGTGACAAACAACTAAAAATAAAAATGAGAGGTTCTACATTAATTTATTGCTTATGAGTTTTAGTAGAATTGTGAAATTTGAAATGTGAAGTGCAAATTCTGAATTTCTGCATTCACAAAGTTGTGCTTCATCCTAAACCAAACTGGAGCTAACTTTGCTGAAAATATAATACTCTAAGTGAAAATACTTATCTCCACTGTTAATTTTAGCATAGGTTTCATAATTAATATTGTTTATCATTTAGTAACATAACCTAAAGTATATAGTCAAATTATAATGGAGATTCCTGGATAATAAGAAAAGTAAGTTAGTCTCATTTGTGGTCAACCAGAAAAATAGTGTGTAGCAAGATTTAAGGACTAACAAAACAAATATTTATATGACATTTTATATTACATTTTCAAATATATTATCTCAGTAAATGACGATGCTTACATATTTTAACTATGGGAACTTTATATGAACACATTTCCAATTATACCCAAAGTGCACACAGAGCTAGCTAAGTCATAAGCCAACTGTGAGGTCTACTAAGAAAAAAAGGTAGTCAAGAACACACCACTTAATGCCTTCACTGCCTTTTGACTTAAACTTTATTAACTAATAGGCAGGAAATATGAATTTTAGTTGTTCAATAATCATTACTTGACCTATTCTGGAATAATTACTTAAAAAAAAAAAAAAAAAAAAAAAAAAAAAAAACATGCCGCAGGTGTTCCTCTGGAGATATGAGAATATGGGTCGTTGGTGAGAAGGTTGTGCTGGTTCTCTATTTTTCCATCTGTGTGAAACGATTGCTTAATATTGTGTCATATAGAAGAGTAATGCTATACTAAGTACAGATGGGACCTCCAGTTGTGGGAAGAGTAGAAGGGATAAAGGAATTGACTGCGTATGTAAAAAATGGTAGCAGAAAAGCTAAATATGAATCTGGGATGGTGGTGCAAGATTCAATGACTATGGAAGGCCCTTCTTTGAAACTGCCGCCACGCCACAAGGCTCGCAGTGCCCCCCAAAGGCCAGAGACTGCCTTGGTTACCTCACTTCAATACTGGACAAGGATCTGGAGGCAAACCTCCATTCCAGTTTACTGAAAACTCAAAACTGGCCTCTCCCCGTGGCTTGGGTAGAAAGAGTCAATGAGATGATTAGATCCTTTGATGAGTCAACTGCTCCACCAGAAGCGCTATTTGAGAGTTGAAACGAAACCACGAGCTCAGATCACAAGCTTTTCCACTGAACCTTTCATCCTGGAGAAAAAGGAAACAGTGCTCAGGGAACCTAGCTGTCCTCGCATTGCTCTGGCAGCTCCAACTCCATCCACAGTCTCGGTCCCTCAGGAAGAGCCAAGGCAGCCAGGACGCTGCAGGGCACTGGTGTAAGCGCGACGCTCGCGGCCAGCCCTCTGCCTCGCCCCATCGGACTGTAATTGTGGCTTATAATTAAGAAGGAGGAGCCAGTTGCCAACTGAGCAGTGAAAGTGACTTTGGAAGGAGTCGGGGGGGTGGGGGTGGACGAAAGGGGCCTGAGTCCTGCAATAAAGGCTCCCCAGTCTTCTCACTCATTCTTTCCCCCCTGCCGCCTGCGCCCTCGGAACAGGGGACAGCCCCGGTGCGCGCCTCTCTTCCTGTTTGGTTAACTCTAGCGCCCGCCCCAACGCCTTCTCAGCTAAGCTGGGAAGAAACTGCCTCAGCTTGAAAAGGATGCGGGCAGAAGCCCAGCCGGGGTAGCTCAACCGCCGCGCCGGTGCCCGCCTCCTCTTCCTCAGCGCCCAGGGCTGCGCCCACCAACCGGCGATATCTAGGAAAGGGCCACAGGAGAAATGACACCAATGCAATGTGGAGTGTCCTGGCTCCACTTCCCCTGCAGGGACTCGAGAAGCGCTCCTTTTCCTGGCCGTAGCTTAGGGAGGCTCGGAGAGGGACACCTCAGCAGTGTCTGGCGACTCCTCTCCTCACTGGCCCCGCCCACTCCTGCTCACCAGAGTCCGAGCCAAGGGCCCGAACCCTCGGAGTCCTGGGGAGGCCTGGCCGCTTTGTCTGGGCTCAGGCTTATCCTCTTAGCCCACCGCCCGGGAGGGAACAAAGAGCCTCGATCCTCACGCTCCAGCCTCTGCCTCTCATAGGAGCCCCACGCGCCCATTCATCACCTTTCTAAAGACCCCTTTGTCTGCCTGGCAAGCACAGGTCTGGCAGGGATGCCCACGCCCCTGCCCAAAGTCCTTTTTTTCTGACAATTGAGCTAGATTGGATTTTCAAGCCACCCACTCCTGTGTAAACGAACTCATATCCGTCTTTTTTACCCCCTCAGAATAGACCACGTATAGATTCGTTGATGCATAACTACCATTCCAGCCCATTCCTTGCTACCTTTTTCAGTCTCTTCCAGTCCCCTTTGACTGTGCTGCAGAAGAGAAAGTCTTTCTGTAAGGATAAACCTGCATCTTGGTCACTTAAATAAATGCTTATTACCTAGGGAGCAGGAGTATTAAGAAATGAAGTGCATGAAGTTTAAGAACATGTGTGTGTTTTAGCAGTCCCAGCACCCCAACACACACACACGCACACACACACACACACACACACGCACACACACACACGGCTTTTTTCTTTGTTTAAATCAATGTCAGAGAAAATATACACTGGGTAGGCATCTCTGCTGGTATGGAGTTTCTGATAGAGGACGCCTCCAGACCGGAACAGGGAGGATTTCCGAAACAGGACTTTGAACAGAGTTGACAATCGGGTTCACATCCTCAGAAAAACGCTTCCAAGCTATGTCAGAAACACAAAGTTGCACCACCTCCTGGGTAAACTTCAAAGGCACAGAGGCCAGCGGGAGGGTGGAAGGAAGTGTGATATTTACAGAACTTAATGGGGCGGGGGAGAGTCTGAATTCATCTAGACAAACTAAAAAAATAGCAGAAATATAATCTGTGTGAAGCTACAGTACCCAGTTTCTTTCTAAAACTGTAACCATGACGCCCATGCGTTTTAACCGTAGAAGAACAAATAAGGAAGTATCCTTAGTGGTACTGGAGTTTCTAATTCAAATTATAATACATAGATCTATCCAACGTCAAAAATGAAAGAAAAAAAAATGTAGAGAAACAGAGGATACCTATTTCCTGCTTTCTGAGCTTTAACTTCAGCCTTTCAAGAAATCATCTATCTCCAGTGTCTCCTTAGGTGATAGGACAGCGAAAACAGGCAACCGTTTGGTGAACAATGACATCTCTCTTGAATTCCGCCACAGATTAAAAGGACAAGGGCACACGTTCTTTGTTGACACTTCTGCAGTGACTTCTCCTTTGCGTGAGAGCACCCAGAGCCAACACAATTGTCACCATAACGGCACAGGGCAAGTTGAACTCAAACTGGGAACAGCTTAGAGAAGCACGCACATCTCAACAACAGCCTTTGTTATTTAATTCCTGACACCAACCACACGCGAGCTCAAACAAACACACATGCCATCCTAAGCATCACTCTACCCTCTATATTCACATTTCATTTATGGCTTGACTTTTTGTCATATCCTGAAATGAAGCTTTGCATTTACCCGATGAGTTGCGTCTCCTGGTGCTCCTCAGTTCTTGCTATTTCTTTTGTCTTATAAAATATCAGGAGCAGACTTATTGTGCAGATCGTCCACCTCTTCCTAATGGAGCGCATCTTGGGTGCCCGGGAAAGTCCTGGTTGCTCCAGCTCCCGCACCTTCTTTTGATGTAAAGGCTCCGTTTTGGGGAGATAGTCGCCGGGGGGAAACCTGTAAAATGCGAGGAGAGCCTGGAGCTGGGATCCCAGGATCAGGTCGCTGGGGTCTTCTGTGGCCGAGCTCCCTCTTGTACTCGAGCGCTGCCCAGCGCCCTCTCGCCCGGTTCGCGCCAGCTCTGCCACGGTCGTCCGCGCCGCCTCCCTGGGGCTCAGGTTTCTTTTCAGATGAGACACCTTGTGCTTTGGAGGTGGCGGCCGCTTCTGCAGCTGGCTTGGGGGCGTCACTGGCCCTTCCCTCTTCTAGCAAGGGAAGGCTGCGCAAAGCCAGCCAATCATCGGGCTGAGGGGGCGGAGGCTGCTTGAAGAGTAACGTCCCCGGCTCTGCCTGCTCTGCGCCGGGAGAGGAAGCTCACAGTTGCCACGCGCTTAGCGAGCTCGCGCACATACACACACACACAGAAGCACACTCACTCATACACACAGGGACCCTCACACGCTCTCCTGGGACACCAAAACATCAGCTCTCGGGGCCTGGGAGCGCCAAGATGTCTATCGGCATCTCGGTGAGAGGGCACCTCGCCTGGGGACAGATTACAAAAGCGTCCTGCCGGAGGACTGCTTCAGGAAGAGCTGAGGGTGGATTATAAGAGGAACACCTTCTTCCAATCGCTATTGCTTAATATACACTCTCACACGCAAAAAAAAAAAAAAAAAAAAAAAAAAAAAAAAAAAAAAAAAAACCCTTCCAAGGTGGAGTGAAACGGGGTGGGGGTGGGGGGCGGCGGTGGAAGGAAGAGGACTTTTGTTATTCCATGCACAGCTCAATCTGGAAAGTACAAATACACACATGAACCTGTTAGCCGATCGCCCACTCAGCATGGGTGGTGGAAAACGACCCTGGCTCAGGATGCTGCTGGAAACGAGTGATGACAGAAGTGTCATTAGGAACTTTATGGATATTTAAACGCCTCCCTTTCATTGTTATATGGAAACTCCTTACGCAGAAGTCAAGGAAACTCCAATCCCACTTAAACTTCATTGCGGAGAAACAGGATTCTGAGAAAGAAAACAAAACAAACAAACAAACAAAAAAACTACCAGGGACTTCTCTTTTAAACGCAAGTACACCCACACGCACATTCAGACACCGAGGAAGGAAGGAAAGAAAGAAGGAAAGGAAAGGGAGGGGAGAAAGGAAGAGCAACTTTCTCTCTAAAAAAGGAAGAGAAAAGTTCTCTCCAAAAGTCTCAAAATACATAGGGCGTCTGATTGTCACCTGTCCTTCATCCTACCATTTTTCGTACTTGAATTGGGTGGCAGGGACACTCTTCAGGAGTCCTGTGTTCGAGTGTTCACTCAAGAGTACTTCCCCGCCATCCTCTCGTCCTCATCCTCATTGGGAGAGATACTTGCTGCTCTGCTAGTTCCGCTCTTTACGGTGGGCTGGCACGTCGGGGGGCACCTCTCGTAGAAGATGGTATGTGGGAGCCAGGATTTCCCTCATCTATATGCGCACGTCCGCAGCTCCCTGGTCGCCAGTTTCTCTCCACTTGAAATCCTTGTTCCTTCAGGTCAAACAGTAGCGTCAGCCGTCTTTCACTCTTGGTCGTTGCGTTTAGGCGTCCCCATGCTCAGAAAGGAGAAGGCCCAATTCCAATCTTCCCTCCCGCGGGAAGTAAGAAGGGGAATTCTGAGTTGCTTATCCCCTGACAGCTTAAAATAGCAACGAAAACAGCCTTCATCTTTGCTTAAAAACCCGAGGTTCCCGCTAATGCTTACCATGCTTCCTCTAGAGTTTAGGAAGTTAAGAACTTCCGAGATCTTGAGTTTCCTCTTTGCAGCACAGCGAACGGGTTCAGGTATAAAAATGCTCCAAGGAGCAAGTAATTACGAATCTTTATTGACACTACAAGCGGCCCGCAGGGAGCCTTTCGAGTTTATTGATGTCTAGGCAAATCCAGCCTGCATTAATGCATTTCTGTTAGACTGACTTCTGTTAGACTGAAGTTTATTCCGGCAAAAACTGCCAGAATAAAACAGCTTCTTATTTAAGTGAAAAGGGAGCGGGGGCTGAGGGCAGGGGTGGGGTGTGGTAAGTATGCATGGTTAAGATGCTAATTTCTCAAGGGTAAACTTTGATTTTTAAACAGTAGACAACTATGTATTAGATTATAAGTAAAACACTACTCTCTGACAGTGATAGGGTAGTATACATCATTTCATTCAACTCATTATTTCTTAAGCAATTGTTATGGGCCAGGCAATGTGTGAGGGGATGAGAACACAAAGATGAATAAAACGTAGCATCTAGTCAGACAAAAAGCCTACTCACTCAAAGGGGGACATGTTTTAAAATAATGATTTACAGTATGGCATCATGAATCAGAAGCCTCATTTGAAATATATATGGTATCTGAGTAAGCTCCTGGGTTGAAGCAGATGGAGTGTTTAAGCCTTTTCAAGCCCCAAAGTTGAGTTTCCTGGTGAAAGGGACACGTAGACTCCTGTTTTCAAAGCTGACAAGGGAGGGAGGATGGAACATTGCAAGTGGAAAAAGGAGAATGCCACACTCCAGAGAGGAATAAAACGCTGGTACTTTGGGGTAACTTTGAAGTGGTTTAACTGTTAGATGGGAAAGTGGTTAAGGGAGAGCGCTGGGTCATAAGTTTAAGTGTGCTCATAATATTCTTTGGCTCAAGAGTGTGTAACTGTCTTTTCTAATGAGAAAGCCATAAAAAAATTCGTCAAGAGGAAAGTGGGTTTAATTTATGTATTAAGCTTTAAATTACATTAGGGGAAAGTATTTACTCAGCCCAAACAGGGGGAAAACAAACAAACAAACAAACAAACAAACAAACAAAAAAAACAAAAAAACCCAAAAGCGAAACTAAAGCAACCAAGAACTAGTTATGAGATCACATAAAATAAATTTAAATGTCCAGAAGAAAAATAAGTGAACTCCCCAATTGTATAATGCTGCTATTTCTGAATTTTTCAAGTACAGAACTTTTTATATTAAGGTGAGCAATTCTGAATAGCTGATAACGGTTCAGCTAGACTCCAGGAATTCTTCTTTCCAAATTAAAACAATTTAGTGTTCGAAGTATAATTGAATGCTATTTGTTTAATATTGTTAGATTCATTAAATATATAGCCATTATAGTCTGCCAATTAAAAGGAAGCTATTTAGGCCAACACTTAGACCAAAGTGAGGACATTCTGATTTTTCTCAATATGTAAGTAGGTGCAAGAACTCTAAATGTTGGATAAAAAGTGTTGTCCACACAAGAAGTCTTTTGGAATTAACTTCTTCTATTAGAATGCTTAGTTTGATGTTCATGAGCAAATAAGATTGTTTCTAAATTTTCATTTGATCTTCGGATTGTAAGCTATTCAATAAAGAGAATATATTTGTCTTTATTCAGCACAATTCTGGAATTATACATTAGCCTATAAATAAATAATGTAAGTAATGGCAGCTGGTTTTAAAATGCTACTTTATCCTTTGACTTAATGTAAATTCATGTTTGCATTCCTGGCTGTACTTTCAAATCTAGCTGGCAGGAAATAGATAGATACTTGCAGTCTCATGGTGGGGTTTTTAATGACCCATAACATTTTTAATAGACTACATGTTTTCAGAAAAGATTTGGTTTATAAAAAAATTGAACAGAAAATACAGAGATTCTCCATATAGCATACTCACAGCCTCCCTATCATTATTCCTCATCAAAACCGTACTTTTTTTTTTTTTTTTTTTTTTTACATTCAATGAACCTACATGGACATATCATTATCACCTACAGTACATAGTTTACATTAGGATTCATTCTTGGTGTTGCACATTTTATGGGTTTTGCAAAATATATACTGAACATATATTCACCATTAGAGTTTAATACAAATTGGTTTTAATACAAATTGACCTAAAAATCTTCTGTGATCTGATTATTCATGCTTCTTTCTCACTCCCCATCACCCCAGGCTCTAATATCCCCAATACTTTTACTGTCTCCATAGCTTTGCCTTTATAAGTGTTATAAGTTGAAATCATGTAGTATGTAGCCTTTTCTGATTGGATTCTTCAGCTTAGTAATATACTCCATATTTTTTCATGACTTGAAAAACGGATATTTTTTTCATGGCTTCAAAGTTCATTTTATGTAAGCACTAATAAAATTCATTATATGGATATACCAAAGTTTTATTCATCCACTTATAGAAGGACATCTTTATTGCTTCCAAGTTTGGGCAATTATGAATAAGGCTTCTATAAACATGTGTGTACTGTTTTCCATGTAGATGTAAAACTTTATACTCATTTGGGTAAATAGAAAGAAACAAGATTGTTGGACTTCATGGTAAAAATGTGTCTAGGTTTGTAAGACACTGCCAAGTGTCTTCCAAGGTGGCTGTACCATTTTTCATTCCCATCAGCAATGAATGAGACTCCTTGTTGCTTCATATTCTTGTCAACATTTGCTGTTGTATCGGTTTAGATTCTGACCATTCTATTAGATGTGTAGTAGTGGTATCTTACTGTTGTTTTAATTTGCAATTTCCTGATATTATATAATGTTGAGCAATTTACACATGTTTATCTTCTTTGGTGAGGTGTCTGTTCTGAAGTTTTCTCAGAGTTTTAACTTGGTTGTTCATTTTCTTATTGTTGAGTTTTAAGGGTTCTTTCTATATTGTGGATAACAGTTCTTTGTCACATATATATATATTTTTTTTTTGAAAATACATTCTCTCAGTTTGTGACTTGTCTTCTTGTTCTCTTGACAGTTTCTTTCACAGAGGAGAGGGTTTTAATTTTAGTGAAGTCCAGCATATTAATTGGGTATTTTATTGATGATTCCTTTGATTTTGTATTTAAAATCTAAACCTAAGGTAATCTGGATTTTTAAGACATGTTATCTTTTAGGCATTTCATCATTTTCTGTTTTAGTCTATAATCTGTTTTGAGTTAAGTTTTGTGAATTATGCAAATTTTGTGTCTAAATTATTGTTTTTTATCATGGGGATGTCTAATCGTTTCAGCACCATTTGTTGAAAAAGCTGTCTTCTCTCCATTGTATTACATTTGCTTTTTTTTTTTTTTTTTTTTTTAAACAAAGAAGCAATGCTTAAATATATTTGGGTGGGTCTATTCTGGGCTTTCTATTCTGTTCCATTGGTCTATTTGTCTATTCTTTTACCAATACCACACTATCTTGACTGCTGAAGCTTTACAGTAAGACTTAAAGTAGTGTAGCATCAGTCTTCCAACTTTATTCT